GTATCTTAATATTTATATACTACCCCATTCCCATAGACTCTGTGTGGTTTACAAGAAATTAAACCAACAGTGAGTAATATTGACCAACAGAATGTCTTTCCTTTCCATTTCTCATGCAATTTCAGCTCTCTCTGGCCAAAGTCCAGCACTCAAATTACTATACTGTCCTTTATCAGATCGCTGGTCTATGACTATCAGCAGAGGCTAAAAAATACAGCATTATGCTACATATTGATTGTCATACCCATAATACACAGACAGAGAAAGATCAACACAGGCACCTGTGCTTTGGAGCTTACTTTGCAACGACAATAATGGATGCCGGCATTTCACACTGTCAGAGACTAGCTTCTGGGCAGGCACGCAGGGCATCCACATGCAGAGCGGCCGAGCACTGCTGCGGGGGCCGCCAAAATCCCTGGCTGGCGAGCCACGGCTGCCAGCCAGTGCCTGCACTACTGGGCTTAGATGGATCGGGCTCTGGCTCCACAGCAGGCAGCCTTTTCCATCACTAACTTTGCAATTCCCGGTCTCTTCCTTTTCTCGCATGGAAATCAGAGTGAGCTCTTCCCTTTCAGAGACAGGTACACCTCCCAGACCAACACTTGGCGCATGATCCACTGCTGACTTGGCTCCAAAGAGCTGGGGTGACCAGGATGCTGAAGCGGGGCTCAAGGCCACCTCCCCTCTGCCCCCCACCAGTCCAAGGGCCTGGTGGTCGTTCTTAAAACGTGGACGACATTTCCAGAAGGTTGGAGAGCAGGTGAGCGTGACAGGCACGGGCGCCACCCTGGAGCTGCGACCTATTCCAGCGAGCAAACGGGCTGTCGAGCGTCTCGACATTCAAGCAGAACAAGAAACACGGCAGGCTGGATTTCCAACCTGGCTGCATTGCTCTCTCCCAGACAGATCTGCTTCTCCTGGGCCTCATTTTTGTGTTTTAAGGGATGCTCTGTTTTCCTTCCTCCGAGGGATGGGAGGCAGCCCAACTTCACCGTGGGAAGCTGAGGCACGAAATGGTGGGGCGTGTGTTTCTGTGTAGCAACAAAGCCACGGGGAACTTTCTGAGAAGCGGCCTAATGATTCCAGCTAGTAGTTTTCAGTGGAAGTCCTGCTGGTGCCAAAATAAAGACATTCCTTCCATAAAATAAATGTGCCGGGGGCGTTTTGCACACGCTATGAAAATACATGCTGGGTGTATCTGTTCTTCTATTTGGAAAGCTGGCTGCACCCATCTGAACTGGCCTGTGCTTTCAGGTGCTTGTCACAGGTCTTGTTCCAGGTTAACTTTCAGGCGCAGGTGGAGGCCATTATATCGCCCCAGGTTTGAACAGATGTTCTGTTTTATTGCTATCTCACAGTACATGTTTTTAAGGCTTGCTGATTATTTAACAGGGGGAATGGTTTATTGCTTAATTTAAGTATCTCTTAGGCAGCACAATTGTCTGGCTGCCAGACGATACTTTGATGGCCACGGGATTTTCCGGAAATCGAACTCTAGAGCTCTCCAGCATGAGAGTTCGCAGCCCCCTCTGCTCACCTTGGCAGCCAGTGCAGACAGCAGTGCATTGCCTGCTGCTTTTCTGAGGCTCAAGTGCATGTGCAGAGATCTTTCCATTTGCTCCTACCCTTATTTTGTCTGGGAGTCCGGGGCAGAGTGACCGACGGGTGTCTCCTCAGCTTTTGCAAGCTCACCTGCGAAGACTGACTGTTCAAATAAGCACTCTGTGACATTGGCCTGAAAGCTTCACCAAGGGAAAACCCACAAGTTACTCCTTCCCATTCAGAGGTTCCTCTTTGGAAAACCAAACTTGAAAAACTAATTCCCAGCTGGCATGTTGAACTTGGGAGGGATCCAGATGACAGCTGGGAATTGGGCATCTTGAAAAAGAACTTTCTGAGCAAAAAGAAACCGAAGGTAGAATATATGGGTATATATAAGAGAGAGAGGGCAAGAGAGAGAGAGAGCACATGTCTGCATGTTCTTTTAAACAGGCTGCTGACAAGGTGACCCAGGAAGATTTCACTGGCACGGATCAAGACCTGTGGGTAGAAGAGGCAAACCTCCGGACTCCACTGGGCTCTTCTTCAGCACGGCTCAGCTGCAGCCCTCCCTGTTTGGGTGCAGACATGTAGCAAATGCAGACTGGGCTCAGATTCCGGGACTCAGACTGCACCGCCAGCTTCAAGCGCAGCTTTGTTCCTTAATAAAAATGGCTCAGGGGTGGGTGGAGCTGCCCGAACAGAGGCAGTTCTTTAGAAAAAGGCCCAAGGCCTTGGCAGGCTGCATGGAGGCCTGCTGGGCACCTCCCCCTGCATTTCGTGCCTCTCCATCCAGAGCGAGGATTTTTAACATATGGGACACGTTCTCCACCTGCGTGACTGGCAAGGGCAGGCATGGCCTGGGTGCAAACAAAGCGTTTGTCTGGCATCCTCTGCGGAGAGTTTGGGCTCGTGCAAGCAGGGCCACCGCCCCAACCCTTCTTCTGCCTGCCCAGTGTCCCAGAGCTTAATTTTAGAATCTCGCTGCATCGTGCCGATGGCAACGCAGAAATTCAGGAGAACACGCTGTCCTTTCTCCCCTGGCAGTCACACGCTGCAGATTTTAGGAACAGAGATCCTCCTTTCTGAACTCTAAAACAGGCTGCTGTCAAGGTGACCCAGGAAGATTTCACTGGCATGGATCAAGACCTGTGGGTAGAAGAGGCAAACCTCCGGACTCCAATGGGCTCTTCTTCAAAACGGCTCAGCTGCAGCCCTCCCCTTGTGATTCTCCTGGCTTCTGCCAGAGAATCCTGGTCTCTGGAGTTTGGGGATGGCAGGTATTTGACAGAGGCACCCAACTTCTCTCACACAGAACTGCAGCTCCCAGGGCTCCCTGGAGGAAGCGAAGCGCTAGCAATGCAGTCAGATTTCTTTTCGCACGGACATGGCGGGTGCGGGTGTAGTCAGGCTGGCCTCTTTCTTCCAGGCTGCTTCCTGGCTCGTTTAAGTCACAGAAGCTCCAGGGCGCTCCTGGGTGGGCTTGCCGCCCTCGGGAGCCCTCCCGATCCGGCAACTGCAGGCTCTGTCTGGGCGGCTCCTCGGAGACGTCAGGGGAGTTGCGCAGGCTCAACTCCGCCATTCAGGGAGCGGCTGTCGGCCTCGTGTCTGGCCGTGGGAACCCTTGCCTGCTGGACCGCAGACTCAGAGGGTCCCCGGCGCCCTGCCAGGCCCTGCCGAAAGCATGGGCATCAATTTGTAATGCCTCCCATAGCACTCAAACCAGGGGTCACCCCAGGAAGTGGACGGGTGGGAAGCTTGGGGCAGATAAAAAGATGCGGCTGCTTCATACATAGCTGAGCTATGGAATCTGCTGCCACGGGAAGTGGGGATGGCCGCCAGTCGGGGTGGCTTTCAAAGGGGACCGGACAGATCCATGAGGGAGGAGGCGATCAGGGCTACTAGCCTTGCGGGCCACGTGCTCCATCCTTCTGCAGAGGCGGCCTGCCTGCCTGCGCCAGCTGCTGAGGAGCTGGCCAGGAGGAGGCCCTGCACCCGTCCTGCTAGAGGGATTCCGTGGGCAGCTGGCTTGGCACCGTGTGGATGGAGGGCCAGACGAGATGGACCTTGGTCTGATCCGGCAGGGCTTTTCTGCCTCAGAAGGTAGGCACTGCACCCCGTGTCTGCAGAATTCCCCCGAGATCAGTGCGAGCAGCTCCCACCACAGCCATTAAAGACCCTTGCATTTACGGAAGTAATGGCTTCTACCTGGCTCGATTTTGTGTCTTCCGATTTATTATTGTGCTGGAAGTGTGCTATGGTTTTATCGGTCGTTCAATTAATACTGCAAGCCGCACGGTGTTCCTTTGTGGGGAAGTGCTGGGGGCCCGAATTCTAGCTCAAAGTAGCTCAAGGACCGGCAGGGGCGAATGCAGGAGTGAAGCAGAGCTTTCGGCGTTTCTTCTTCAAATATGCCTCCTTATAGCGTGTAGGGGGGCAATGATGAGCAGGGATGGGGGCAGTTACTGGGACACCCCAGCTCTGGGAGTGCGCTTCCCAGTATAGCGAGGCTTGCGCCCACCCTAGCGATGTGCCGGTTCCAATCTCAATTCAGGGTACCGGGCATTTTACCTTGGTGCTGCTTTTATGGTGAATGCATTCTCCCCCCAGTCATTCTTTTTCACTTTCTTTGTTCCTTTAGCATTTCAAGTGGCTTATTGTTTATTTCTTTTATTTATTTAAAACTTTTGTATAGCATCCACTACCAGGGACAGTCTTACCATAAAACAAAGTGGAGCGCAGCATCCCTTCTATACAATTAAAAACCCACTTAAAATTACGATCTACACCTTAAAAGACCGGGAAAATAAAAAGCTTTTGGGCTGGCACTGAAAAGAACGATGTGGCTGTGCCAGACAACCCTCTCTGGGGAGCATATTCCAGAATCAGGGGGCCACCACAGAAAAGACCCTTCTTGCTATCTTGCAGCCCACCCTAAAATAATTTCATTGGAGAGTAAGCTAAGAGGGGCCGAGTCTTTACCTGTGACGAAAGGTTTCTGGATTATTAGAGGGCTTTCTACCTTTTGGGATACGAGTGTCGGACACCATCTGCTGGTATCAAAGGAATGATGCATAGCTCATTTTCTCAGTTTTGCTGCTAAGGAGGCAGCTCAAATTTCACAGCAAGGAGGAAAGACCGATTCTGGAGATATTCAGAAGTCTAAATGCATGTGTGGGTGTACGTTTTTTAAATCCCACTGCCCCTTCTGGTATCTGGGAGAGCAGAAGCCAGCAAAGCTGACTTGAATGGGCCTGGTAGTGGGGTTTGGAGAGGTTAAAGTGCGAAACATCTTGAGATCTACTCTCTGTCCCCCCAGCCCCTAATTCCATACTGAGGCTGGATGTCAGGTGATCACTTCTAAAAAGCAATGAGGCTGGTGCTAAAAAGTTCACAGATAACACAAGAATTGTGCTCAAGTCATTTGGCAGAACCTGGCTGGGGAAAAGTCATCTTACCTCGTGTAGGTTGAGCTCTTTGACTTTTTCTTTTAGAATAACCTGCCAGGAAAGAAGACATGTTAGCAGAGAATTCAGTTCCAAAAATAAATTACAAAGTACAGTTTGAATTGTTTAAGAACTGCAAACCAGACAGCAAACTAATTTTTCTCCCATGCTCAAAGTTTTAAAACACATCTTCAAAACTGCAACACTCTCAGTCTAATATTAGAGCTGGATGTGCGAAAAGAAGCCCAGCCAATGGGAAAAGGGATGCAAAACTTACTTACAAAAGAGTTAAACTGTCTGGCATTTTCCACTTTGTACAACAAAGTAAGCATTTGCAAAATGATGCAGGTCTGTAGGTTTGCATCCTTAGGGGCCATTTGATTTTTCATGCCCGGGTCTGCTCTCTGTGCCATTTTGCAACCGCTAAGGGTTTTTTTAAGAGTCTAGGAAAGCTCTGGTGGGGGAGTTTAACAGCAAAACTTCTGGCTTGGCAGTAAGTGAGCAAAAATATACACAGATTTTGTGACTGAGAAGTAAATGGAAGGGAAAGAGATCACATGTATAACAGCTTGGAAACACACACACACACACACACACACAGAGAGAGAGAGAGAGAGAGAGAGAGAGAGAGAGAGAGAGAGAGAGAGAGCGAGCGCACACCTGCATGCATCTCACCTGTTTGTACGCATAAAGCTCTTTGTGCGCTTGATGTCTCAACCTAGAAATCAAGAACAGAAAGAATAAATATGACGGGCCATTCCCAAGACAAAAGCACTGCCCGCCGGGTGGGGGAAGACCCTCCAGTAAAGACCATCCAGAATGTTGTTTCCAGGCCTAGTTGCCCCAGATACAGAGCAAATCACTCAATAAGAAGCTTTCTGCACCGAACAAATACAGGCTGGAGGTAGGGGCAATTCCATGTCACACTAAACCATGGTTTAGTGCAACAGACACAAGCTGGCATGAACTGTGGGGAGATCCCCTCTGGTCCCCTTCTCCCATGTGGCAAAGCAGTGGCCTTTGGAAGCCTTCCTCTGTCAGATTTTATTGGAGTTGGACTCCCATCATCCCCAGCTAGTCAGGGATGATGGGAACTCTAGCTCCACACCTCTGGAGGTCACCAGGTTGGGAAAAGCCAATCTATCCATCCGTATAAGTTGTTCTCTTCTTGGAGTTCATCACGCTGCTCCATGAAGGACACGTGGCATTAAGAGTGCTCTGACCATGCCAAGAGTGCCGAGGGACCAGAGGCAGCTTGTGGGCGGGGAGACACAGCCCTGGGCAGAGCGTCTTCTGTCAGGGAGGGCCCAGCTGGCTGCAGCAGCACTGGACAGCTGGGGCATCCATTCTCCCATAATGCCCCACCGCAGTTCCCGTTGTGGGGCACTGTGGGATATGGCGAGCCGCTCCGAATATCGGCTGAGGGAAAAAGCGGCCATGGGCTCAAGAGGGGCCCCAGCAGTCGCCCGAGGACGCCTGGGGGCCTGTGGAGAGCTGCGAGCCTCACATGCCCCCGGAGTGCCAGGAGAAAGTGGGCCGGGCCTGTGCTGCAGGATCCCGCGGGCCACGCAGGGAGCCTATCGCCTTACCACCACGATCCCCGGCGGGTCTTGCTCTGCCTCCGCCGGGCTGAGGGGCGAGGCACTCGTCTGTCTTGCCCCGCGGCATCGTCCACGCACCGATTCCCCGACATCCCCTGGCTTCTGTGTCCCTTTCCCACTCTGCAGCAGCTCCTCAGCCCATCGCTCGGACCCCCCGTGGACGGTCCCCCCCCCGGAGCATTCTCCTGGCCTTGGTTTGCCCTCGGGCATCCCTGCCTGAAGCCCAAGCTCTGCCTAGGCTCTGTGCTCCACAGTTGCGATCGTGTTAGCGTCGGCTGGTACTTTATGGGAACGTTCCAAGCAATCAGCTCCCAGAAGAGTTCTTGTACCCCCTCATCTGTTGGGATTTAGAAAAGAGAGGCCAGAGTGGAGCCTGGCACTGGTCTAGGAGCACCGGAAGCTGCCGGATGCAGAGTCTGGTGGGGGTCCGAGGTTTTAGAGGGCAAAAACCTCCATTTCAGCATTTCACTTCCAGGGTCCCCCTGATGCGGAGGGTGAACGCTTTCAAGTGACCAGTGCAAACCAAAGTACCAAGTGGGGAGAAAACGAACGAATAAATAACATTTTTAATAGATTTACCTCCATTAATAGTACACTTAACCTCTCCGGGTTCAAAGACAGAAATCTGTAAAACAGACAGTACAGTCTAGAAGAAAAAACCTGGTCAAAGTCTGACAGTTTGCAAGCGGGAAGCATTAAAGACGCAGTATCTCTAATTAGTGTCTCAATCAATCAGATACACATACGGCAAACAAACACACCTCTCTCCCAGGGTAAAATGCTAGCAGAGTGTTATTTTTTCATGACCTAAGAAAGTCCCTACCTTGAAAAAGAAGAAGGAGAAATCTGATAAAAGCATTTGCTCTTGAATAGGCAGAATTTTAAAGAATACCACAAACAGTTGAAGGTTAGGCGTTTGCGTTTCCTGCTATGGCGGGTCCTGGGCGGGCTTTTTTTAATACTTAAAAAATGCAGTGCAAGAAACCAACACAGCTTGAACTACAAATTAGTACTGCACTTTTAAAAATTTAATTTTCTTTTAACTCCATGCTTGCTTGTGCTATAGCTTTAATGCAAAAGAGAATTATTGTCATCATCGGCTCCTGATGATTGCAGGAATTTCTACCTCCCGATCTAGTAAACAGAAGTATTTATTTGCCCAGAAGTGGACACAAAAGGAATCCCAGTAGCTTTTCTTTTTGAAAAAAGGCCTTTGCGTGACCGTGTGATGCCCATGAAGGTTTTAAGGCAGGCTCAACATGGCCCAGAATGCCACTGGAAGTGAATGGTACAGCTCCTTATGGGATCACCCCATACCCGTGGGAGAGTCTGTCCAAACTGAAATACCTTCTTCCTTCTAACAATCTTCCTACATGCGAAAAGCCATTAGTCTTCCTAGTAATGTGTTTAGCTTTCCAAGTTCAGGGAGCTTTGGACGAAAACCCGCACTTGTGCGCTCTCCTCATAGCTGCTAAAGCTGGGGGAGACCTGTGATGACCGTACCACGTGCCTTTCTGGGGGCTTCAGAAGGCCTCTTTCACAACCTGCTTGGAAATCTACGGGCAACTCCGCCACGCACAATTCAGAATGGCAGCGTTTTAAATCTGATGCCCTTTCTGCAACGAGTATCCACCGGTGCTCTTTTCCCGTTACCAATGAGCAGACTGGAGTCTTGCTAGAAGTCACGCAAGTCTCAGTGTTAAGATCAGGACCGGCTCCCCAGAAGAGGAGGAACGGCACTGATGCGCCTCATGGGATGAAGAGATACTGCATCTTTAGCTTTGCGAGAAGAACAATGAGTGACTTGTTTAATCGGAGCACAATTCCAGTGGAAAATAATCAACTTTCCAAACCGCTTCATGTTCTTAAATGCAGTTTAATCAGGCTCAGCAAAAGGCATCAGCTGCTAAATGAGATTTTCTCAACACTGCAGTAGAACACAGTTGTAAGGCTGAAAAAGTAGATAAAAATTAAAATGAGCCCAAGTCCCAATTCTCAAGGTAGACTAGAAAGCAGCTATTTCCCTTGCTGTCTACAGTGAGAAAAACGACTCTAGGTGAAGACCAGGCAAGGAGGTTTTTTATTTTGGAAGAAACAGATTGTGCTTTTTTTTTCTTTTCATTCCTCATAAAATTGCTTATACGGGAATGTGTATGCCATAGCAAAAGCACTTTATGGCTGAATCACCTTTGCAGATTTATTGTAAGCCCGACTTATGTGATTACAATATTGGACGTGGCGAGGAGGTGTGGAGCATTCCAGCATCAGCCAGCAACCAAAGATGCTGATGGTACCAAATTCTACTGCAAAAGAAAACTGTAGAAGGTGCACAGAGGATTAGGGCTCCGATGCACAACCGGCGTTCCAAACATTTGCTCTCAAGTTTTCTTACGGGTGTCCAATGCTGGTACTCCGGCCTCTGTTTGCACGGCCAAAGGAGACACCATGCTTCATCCAAGAGGGAGACATTTCTGGATTTTTTATTTTCACAAATGGAGGAGCCAAGTGAGGTATAATGGCTAGAACGTTGGACTGGGACCCGGGAGATCTGGGCTGTAGTCTCCACTCGGCCATAGAACTCGCTGGGTGGCTTTGGGCAAGGCCTCAACTCTCAGCCCAACCTACCTCACAGGGGTGTTGTGAGGAGAAAACAGAGAGGAGGAGGAGGACCATGTGAGTCGCCCTGGGTCCCTCTCAAGCGGAAAAAAGCAGGAATTGGCATACGGTACTAAAACAAAGAATTCACCCACAAGGCCTCACACTTCAGCGTCCGCAGACCATTCCTCCTCCGTCCCAGTCTCAAGGTTGTGGAGACACCATGGACTGCAAGATCATCAGCTCTCCCCCTCCCCCACGCCTCCCACTGCAACCTGCTTTTCATGACATTTCTCTCACTAAAGAGATCTGGAGGACCGGAAAGCTGGCTTGTTGTTTGTGATCTTTTGGTTTGCACCATAAACTACCCCACTAATATGGATTTTAATTCGATCAGTTGGGAAGATCAATCCTTTTCAAAGCCTCTTGATTAACTAAAAAGGTGCTGCAATTCTTGGAGCAGCTGTTTTAAATAATAATAATAATTATTATTATTTAAGTGCTTATTGAAGTATGGACAGCAAGCCCTACTCCCTGCTTTAACGCCTTTTGTAGAATAAATGTGTACGCACTTTTTTCCTTTTTGCTTCCGAGAAACCAGCTTTGCTCATTCTCAGATACAGTCATATCTTGAACCAGAAAAACCAACCACGAAAATCCATACAATTTAAGCAGCCGAAATTTGGTCAAGCTGGGGAGAGACCCCTCCCACCTAGATAAAAGAGCACTTATCTACCATCTCCAGTGCAAGTGGCCTTGAACCAGGTTGGGACGCTAAGCATTTGCTTGGCTGAATGGTTCGCCTGCACCTCTTCTAGATACAACCTGGAACACGCTGCATGCCTAATGAAGCCAACTCTGAGTCCTTGACCACATCTTACATTAATCAGGTTCCTTAGGAGAAGCAAGGATTCTGCTTATACTCTCTGGAGAAAGCCACTGTTGGACAGATGGGTGGAAATGCATAGAAATGTTCTAATAATAATAATAATAAAAAAATGGAGACAAGTGGCATCAGCTAAGGGCTTAGCTACACTATGGAGCAAGTACCTTCTCCAAGCAGGTACCTTCCCAGCTCCTGGCATTTCCACCCAGGACTCCTAAGTCCTGCATACTCTGTGTGGTCATATTGTCCTGTAGGCAAGGCTTTGCAGCCCGGTTAAGGTGGGACTCGCACCTTGATGGTTTGTGGCCTGCCAATCACAAGACTACAATCAAGACCGCACTTGAATTAAAAGAAAGCGGAGGGCACCAGATTGGAGAATTTTGTTATAGATGGAGAGAACCACTCAAGGGTTGAATATGGGCTGAACACAAGTTGTGGTTGAATCATGGGTTATTCTTTTGTCCAAACCCAGCAGCGTTATCAAGCCATGGATTAACCATGAAGAGAATTCATGGCTTGCTGTTGGGTAGTTCACCATGGTTTGGTATCTCAGCTAGGTTCAGACAACACAATAACCCATGGTTCAACAACAACCTGCATTTCAGGGACACGAATTCTTGGGTTCTCCGAACCAGT